TCAGGAGTAAATAACGTGATGGTTCCAAATGCTCCACTGTTTGTGGATTACACAATTTACCTTGGTTACACAACCTGATGTGAAACTGGGCATTAATTTTGGTTTCTGATCTCTGAAGATCTCTGGCTTACCAGCTTACATGTTGGTGGCTGAAGCTGGGCCAGCTGGGTCAGTATCTGATGTAAACACGATGTAAAAAGCTGGATAATAGTTGAGCAGTTAATCCATGTCTGTTCTGCCAAGGCTGTAGTGTTATCTGTACATGAGCAAACTGGCTTAAAGTTAGGTTGGGTATGAATGACTTCATGACCTTCAGTCAAACGTGTGAGAGTTATCAGGCTTATCTTTAAGATCATTTTAATCCCTGTATTGCTCTTCTTTGCATCTTCTGCACCAGGCTTGTTCTTTTGATGATCCTTTGCAGGCACAGAGATGGTTGGAAGTGCCAGAACTATGAAGATCCACACAATTCCACTCTGTACATTTGTATGTCTTTGTGTGGATCCTCTGGGGTTGGTGGGGATGCTGTCATGTAGCTAACATGTCCAAAAGAGTCCAAGACCTACCAGCTGTTGGTAAACTGGCTACCATAAGGACTGGCACCAAAAAGATTTAGAAAACAGATGAACAATAGGTAGTAAGAATCTTAGTACAAAGGATCTTCCACAAGTGTCAGAAGAAGTCTTAGATCCCCAGAGGGGCCAAATCTCATAGGCATACTTAGACCATACTTAACTCACTGGGACAGCACAGGTTATACAAAGCTAATTAATTTAATTATTAAACACTAAAGAAGGAAGCTGCAACCATGTTTTCTTTAACAGTATTCCCTAATGACCTTGTCCAAGCTATAAGATGAACCTTATTTGCACCTTGATCCTGACAATTTTGAGTTCACCACTTCCAATTTCCAACAGTGTCCCAATCAGCAGGCAATGTGCCTTCCACCAACATCTCTTATTGAGCTGGGCAACTCTATTAAGTACCACAAGGAAGAATAAAGAAAAAGGAACCTGATCTTATACTTACAGGTCAACAACCTTCTGGCAAGAGAAGGACAGGGAATGGAGACATTGAGAAACTAAGGTCTGCAGGGGGTTCTTGATTAAAATATAAAGAAACAGTTTGGGCAGAAGGAGCAGAACATCTTCTCAGAGAGAATATCACCAGACTCTAAAATTGAGTTTTTTCCTGTTTATTCTAAACAATTAACAAACAGTTTCTAGAGTCAGGAATCAAGCCTGACATCTTTCCTATGCAGGTCATGGATTGTGCATTCTAAAGCTCTGGGGTATTCTGTGTTTAGTTTCATGTTAATACACACCTCAAGGTCAGCTCATCCTTTGTACTGTTTTTGTTTGTTGGTTTTTTTTTGTTGTTTGTTTGGGTTTTTGGGGTTTTTTTTAAGGAAAATTTTTACACATTCGTTTTACTCATACTGCTGTTTTTCAGAGTGAGAATCTGTTGCCTTTATGGTTTCAG